AACACAGTTACTAATTTATTATGGAGTGGCAAGAGAGACTACAATTTGAGGTTATTTAGGGCTAGAATAAATATGTATTTTTAGTAGAGCTTTTTGTGAAAGAATTCCTCCAGGCAAGTACCGCCGATTTAGGAACCCATTACTATCGCCAAGCAGTATTGTGAGCATTCCGATTTCGAAGGGTATGGTGCAGATGAAACTATAGGTTTAGTGGCAGTGTCGCCTCGATCTTTGCGTTTTCAAGTTTCTGAGTAACACTGTTAGACCCAGCATCCATCGGTGGGATGGTCTGGCATGGGATCCTTACATACAAGAGGCATCCATCTTGCACGCGCCTAGCATAGCTAGCTAGCCTAGCGTATTCAGGTCAGTCGTAACGTTAGTCGTAAAAGTCTGCCGAACGCCTCGACGCTTTGTTTGCCGGGTTTAAAAAAAAGGTATTGCGTGGAGTTGCCTTTTTTCATCTAAAAAGATTTTTTACAACCAAATTTATAATAAGTATGGAATTATACCAAATTCTGTATTTGCTCGTTCTGCCCACGATTTTCGGCAGAAATGGGTTAAAACGCAGCACTTTGGGTAAAAACTCGGTTAAAACCCGGGCGCGTTGATTGGATTTTACCTCATTGCCCGTCTCTGTTGGTGTCATAAAAAAATGGATTGCTGACCTTAAAACTTAAGATAAACCTTTTACTATTTAGGATGTAAACTAATAGCAGTCATACTTTAAATTGACATGGGCTCAAAAACAAGTTGATTATCGATCAAAATCGTCCAACATTGTGCAGTATTTTGAAGGCATTTTTTTCTTTGACTATGTTGTCTATCAATCTAGCTGCATGAACGTTACACGTTTCTGCAATTGATTCCTGGAGGTCTACCACGAAATACGTAGCAACGATCGATGGTCGTGGTTTGACATAAGTATTTGTACCTTACTCCGAAACGTCAAATGACTGATATCAGATCGAATTTTGACATTACTTGTATCGTAAAACTGACATTTGTATAGTACGTACGAGCTTCGTTGCGGACACAGTCACGTAGTATCGTATTTCCTGGTAGATCTCCTGGCCACCAGGCCTTACCCCTTCATTCAACATTACACATTAATATCCACCTAAATCTCACCTTGCTCACGATTCTCACTAGTTGTCCCGATTAGACTGATTGCTTCCTACAAAATCTGTACTTATTATGATTGTTCTTTGAAAAGAGGGTTCAGGCCACTACCCGACACTGCTTGGAGGCGTCTTTATCTACACTTACCTGAAGGATAACCCAGTCTTCTAGTGTCGCTAGCCAATATCCCCACAGTGGAGGACGAGAGCGGATTACCGGTGTTCCAACAAGAGACAGCGCTGCGTGCAATGTCAGCGAAGAATATGACGTTGGAGCCAGCGTGATAGCCATGCATGGTGGACTGGCTGTTGGCGCCACGGTTGCCTATTATCTGAAGATAAAAAGCCACATTTGGAACTAAGCAGTATTGGTTTAGTAGGTAGTCACATCTTCATGTCGTCAATCTTACAAAGGTTAAAAACTAATCAGCCGAGACGTGGACAAACAACAGGCCTCATCCACAAATTCAAAGTCGCTGAGCGTGTCATGGAGCTAGCTAAGCTTGAGGTTTCTCTGATGGATCGAATCCCTAATAAAGTCATACATCAGAGAACTAAAGTGAAAAAATAACTCGCAAAATCAGTAAGCTTAAGTGGCATTAAGCCGGGCATGTCTGCAGGAGGGTTGATCGCCGATGGAGCAGACTTGTTTTGGATTGGTAACCAAGTCAAGGCAAACGTAGTGTCGGACGCCTTGCGGCAAGATAGACGGACAACCTGTGAAAGGTGGCCGGCAGTAGCTGGATGCGGGCGGCATAAGACCGGGAGACTTGGCGTGCTCAAGGCGAGACGTATGTCCAGCAGTGGATGCGTGTAATCTAATGATGAGTATTGGTTTATTCTGTGTGTTCTAATACAAATAATAATTCCTTGGACATGACACGACACTAACCTGCGCCTGTTTTGCTAATCTACGGCGAAATGCTCTATCAACTGAGTTAGAGTTCGAGTCAGCAGACATTACGTTTTTTCTATGCCTTTGTTACAGATCTTTGTATTTGGTTTTAACAACTTTTTTGTCGTGACGCCTGTGACAGATCTATGAGTTTTTCTTCACTCAACCAGGTACCAGGTCCAGGGTAGTACTCTGCCACCTTACCTATTTCTGCCGCCAATTAGTAATGTGAGCATTACTGCGTTCCGGTTTGGAAGGGTAAGGTGTTGGTGAAATTACAGGCATATGGGACGTGTCCTGAGACATCAGGATGACTGGCGCAGTGCAGTACCCGAAAGATCCTTGCGATTTAAATGAAAATCGGGGAATAGATTCAGATGCGCCACGTGTTGCTTATGGACAGGCCAGTTTAAGGTTAGGGCATGCCTACATATTGGCCCGGTCATCGTCCTTTCAAGCAAGTACTCCGATTTCCGATCTGACAGACTCGCAGCAAGACCTTTATAGCGTGCTTTTAACATTTTCAGAATATGTTTCATTTTGTGAATAAGACACCGCTTTCTATTCATTTTTATTTTTTTCTATTATTTAAAATAATCACAAAATTACATTACAGGCATATACGGTTCAGCTCTGCGTCTGATACACCTCAGTCTTTTTAGCAATTTTTATTATGAATAATGGCGCTTTCCCATTATTTCGTGAAGACATATAGTAGTGCAGTTTAAAATGGCTTGTATATTTAAATTAACTTTCATAACAATAATAATAACGCACATACTCAACATAGCCCGGCACTAGGCAAACTCACGAGAGAAATACATGTAGGCCATACAAATATTTCTCCCGGCCCGGGAATCGAACCTGGGTCCTCTACGTGGTAGTCCGGCATGGTAACCGCCACGGAGGCAGTTGTCCACAAATAGAACAATACGATTAATTGTCATTCACGACTTTTTTGACGTTACGACGATAGACTGCTTGCTGTGACAATGGGAAGAGCAAGAACGACAGTCGTCTGACGATAAATAAATCGTCACGATAAAAATGTGAGAACAGATAATCGCAACTTCAAACGCTTCTGTCGTGCAAACGACAAGACGGCTGCCGTGAGCCAATAAATTGTCGTCGCAATCTAGTGGGAACAGCTAGACGTGACAGTCGTTCAACGATAAAATAAAACGTCCACGACACAATCACGACAGGTAGTCGTGATATGGGAACAGGCTAGACGCGACAGTCGTCTAACGATAAATAAAACGTTACGACATAATGGGAACGCGGATGTTCTTCAGATTGGCCGCGATTCTAGAAAGCTATCGAATTGTTCCGTTCGCTACTCTTTTCAACTTACCGAGAATAAACTCCAAAAATTGCTGTCCTCGCTAGCAGTCCTGTTCCTCAGCGTGCAAGTGGACACTGAGAACTCATCGGTGCCGATCATTGCGTGGAAGAACGCGTCCCGGCAGCCCGCAGATGTGGGATTTGTGAGAGTAATGCTGAAGATACCATCGTTCCATTGGAAACGTTGACCTGGATGAACAAATGGTAATTTTGGTCTGATGACAATTGCTGGTAGAATCTTGCGAGGAGATCCTGATTACCCAGAATAAGTGGCGCAACTGGTGAGCCTGTTCGTCTCCCGCTAAATAAATTTAATCTGCGGCCGCGTGGTCACCGTCTACTGGCAGTGCCACCCAGTGCCATACAGTGAATCACCACTTGTTAGCCTCCTGCACTGTTTTAATAATATTAACAATATAATTATTTATTCCGACAATCTTACAAAGTAACTTAAAAAAAAAACTACGTTAGCGACAAAGAAAATAAAATAAAAATACTCACATACCGATCAAATAGACTCACATGAGACTACTTGACCAGGGCCCGAAAAGCAGGTCATAGAATGCTGTTGGTGCTGCCGCGCACTTTGTTGAGCAGTGAGGCTGTTTTTTTTTTTTTTTGCATAGAAGTCATCTACCCTCGCCTCTGCGAACATGGTAGATGCACTGTAGAAACGAGGCAGCCCCATCAACATTCTAAACCCTAATGGGTTACAGTACAATAATTTGTACTGTACCCGTAGGTCACTAAGCGATCTTTTAGAATAACTGAACCACAGGCTGATCTTGGTTTGCAGAGTGCGACTATGGTAGAAAAATAGTTGTCATCGCAGTAAGGATGAGAACCTGACACGTTCCGTTAAACAGTTTTTCTTTCTTAATGAAAAAAAAAAAAACAATTCTGCGAATTGCGTGTTATGTAGAGTAGTGGAAGATGCATATCATTTGTTACTGGAATGTGTCTGGTGCGAACAACAGAGGGCGGCGTTGATGAGAGACCTGCAGATCAACCGAACATCCTTAGATGCTATAAATTGTATATTAAGCAATCCTCACATGAAACAAGCAAAAAGACTTACTATTTGTTGACTCGGCTCTCCAACAGCGTCGCCCAGACAGGTAAGCTATAGTTTAGGGTACGACGGAACTACCATATACATTGTATAAAAGTTCCTAAATAAATAAAGAAAAAAAAAACCACAGGCTGCTCGTATAAAACGACTGGCAGTAGGCTTTTTAATACGCTTCTCGAATCTGCACCAGATTGCGATGTTTTTGCAAGTAGATTGGTGGCTGTGTGTGATGAATGTCTCAAGTTTTGTGAGAGGATGGATGAGCGACCATCATCTGTGATTTACTATTAATACTATATATTTATGAATTTCACAGTGCCTTGGCAATTTACTGTAATACTGTGTAATTTTATGAAATAAATAAAATAAACAACAGACTTTAGTTGTCGCAGATGGATAGAATAATCTGAATCTAATTACACGTGTCCCTTATTCCAGCGTAACCATGCTTGATTTTTTTAATAACTATAACAATGTCATACAGGATTTTCCCAGTTCAACAATGTTAATGAAGTAACAGAAAGACTGAACGCTATTAATTATTGTTATTAGCCCTTGCGAAAGGGGCAAATTTTAAATTTTTTTGTACGAGCTACTTATAGAATGTATCCCCTCTTGGCACTTCTTTCAGTAATTCAAGCGCTTTTGTGTTAATTCTCCCCTTATTATGAGGAAGACCGTTGGGAATAATTTGTCGCAGAGAGGTCCACGGCCGCGGACTGGGTAATTTTTTTTACTAAAAATTAGAAAATAAATTCTACAATTTGGGAGAAAACTATATCGTCGGGTATAGTGCAAATCCCCGTATATAGTATTGGTAAAAAGCGCGTATCTGCATCAAACCGAATTTCACAGGAGAGGTTTCATTTTTGCACAGTAAGCATTAATTTATGTTGTCTACGGACTGATAACAATAGATTCCCGTAAATCACGCTAATTTGATTGCCGCAACATTTACGCGGATTTAATTTGGCGATAGAATTACCGAAATGGAGAGTCATAATCAAATGCTAGTTACGCGTAATTGCACTATCTCCGACGATATCCTGAACAACGCAAAGATCCCGACACACCATCACGTGGGATCGCGATCAAACGCATGCCTATACAAGTAAAAAAAAAATACTATGGAAAGAACCAGCGGACCTCACGAATTTTCCTATGTGCTTGTTTGTCGGATATTTGTATTTGGTTTTCAATGACTTTTTAGTCGCTTTTAGTCGTTCGTCTTTTTAGGTTAATATCACTCTAAAACTCGATTCAAAAGCTTAAAATATGATCCGATCTGTGGATCGATTTAGAGGCATATGATCCATTACGATCCAAAAATCGGTTCAAAACAAAAAATCGTCCCCACCCTTTGTTCAAAATGATTAATAGCGACTTTGACAGGTACTTTCCGTTGATTCCCCAATAATTCGTAAATACTCAACATTATCTGGCTACCTATGTCTTTCCAAACAGGTATAGACTGTCGCGTCTGTCCACGGTCAGATAATCTTTGACAAAATTCTAATAGTTTTATGCACGCGTACTAGATGGCGTTAGCGCGCTGTGGAACATATAGTTTCTGTGAACGTTCTTTTCTATATTAGATTGAAGAAGCCAATAATAAGTTTTTACTTACCAGCTAAATTTAAGTTTCCAACTAAAGGGTTGAAACTAAAGAAGTTGTGACTCAACCTCCAGCTGTCATTGGATTTCAAAGAAAAGACGATAAGTCCATACGTAGCGAGATCTGGGACGTAGGCATAGGCGTCGTTGCAGTCATTATCTGGGATGTCCACTGTTATGGAGGCGAGGCCTGGAAAAAGACAAAATCAAATACAATCATAAGGATTTACACTAGAGATGCCACAAATATTCGGCTACTATTCGGTATTTGACCTGTTCGGCCAAAGTCAAATAATCATTTATTCCATAGGTAGAATTTTTACACTTGAAAACGTCATTTTTTAAGCTACTGCTCGTTCACTGCCGCTGACCGCCCTGACTTTGACTTTTTTAATATTCGGTATTCGGCCGAATACTACGAATACTACAGACGAAATGAGTTGGAAAAATTATAAAACGATAGAATGACAGTCTTTGGATCTGTTTTGGAGAAGTCGCTACAGATAATATGCAAAATGATGAGGATGTGGAGAAAAGTTCTATTACACATGAGATTGATTTTTATATGAAAACTGTTCGTCTAGATCGGACGGCAGAGCCTTACAAGTGGTGGTCAGCAAACGCAAAGCAGTATCCAAGCCTGTCAAAATTTGCTAAGATTTATCTATCGCCTCCTGGCAGTAGTGTTTAGAGTGAGAGGCTATTTTCACAAGCAGGAATTGCTTATGAGGAAAAGCGCAATCGTTTGTTACCAACCAATGCTGAAAAAATAGTTTTCATTCATCACAACCTACCACTGATTGATTTTAAGTATTAAAGGAAAAATTTCTGATTAAATTACTACATAATTCCTTTTTAATAATACGTGCTTTTTTCGTTATTTGATAGTCAGTATTTTGCCGAATAGTTGTGGTATGGTCCCAGTAAAGAGCTCGAAACGTCTCTGTTTTTTTGAAAAACAGATTTCAATTATTATTGTAGATCGAGACAATCTGAAAGAGCTTAGCGAGTTACCAAGGATTTTTAACCGACTTCGAAAAAAGGAGGTTCTCAATTCGACTACGTTTTTTTTTGTTGGAAAGAGGATACCTCAGTAGTGGTCCCATTTAAATTTGAAGAAAACAAAACCTCTAAAGGTGGCATACTATGAATCCAGTTTCGCGCACCTTCCGGTAACCGATGTCAATAACACTTGGCAAATAGATGTAGTTCCACGAACTTTTGAGGTCGGTTTTTTAGTACTCCTGCATAGAGATTATTGTCTCACATGGAAACAAATACAAGGATGTTACAGTTCTTAGCGTAGGCGTTAAATCCGAAGTATCATGCCTGATATATAGTGTGCACACGGGTCGTATTGAGGCGATTCAACGTCGTTTTCTGAAAGGCCCAAGTAGCAGGTGTGGTTTGAGGCGTCGATTGCCAGAATACAATGACAGACTGCAAAAGTTTGGCCTACTAAGCCTGGAAAATAGGATGTGGTTGTCCGACCTATGTTGTCTCCACAAAATAGTAGGTGGTTTTTTTGACACTTACCTACCTACCTACTAAATATATGCGTATACCACAGCTTTTTGCACTGCCACACACTACTAATAATGTTGCAAAAAATAATCCTATTATAAGAATGTGTCGTTGCTATAATGAAATATGTGCTGAACACGATATATTTAATTGTCATATTGTAACTTTTAAATCAAAAGTACTTACTCATATGTGACAATAACTTAGTTTTCATTAATTTTTGTTTTAGTTTTTTTTGTTATCTTATTATTCTATCTATTTGTCTTTATTGTAAAATCCGTTACACATAGTTTAATATTTTATTAGTTAAATGTAATATGTACGTAAGTATATTTCCGCTCTTCGTGACATTATCTTTTTTGTTTACCGAATGCTGTGTACAGTTGTAATTGGGTATCAGTGTTACAGTGCTATTCTAGAATTTTTTTATATTATGCTGTATCTGATGTCTTTAACTGTACCAATAAAATAAAAAATAAAATAAAAATGTACTTTTGACTTTGTACCATCTTACCTGTAGGAGTGATAGCAGAAGGAATGTCCGATGTTTTAAAGTTGTATCTTAAGATTGGTCTGTCGGTGTTGAGATCGTAAACGACGATTGCAGGTGGCTGCACTTGCTGGCGGTTATCTGTTGAAAAAAAAAATAGTGACGAAAAGCTTTCATAGATTTCTCACAGATGGCGTTAGGCAAAAAAGCCGTTAAAAACCAAAAATAAAGATCTCCAACAAGCACATAGAAAAATTCGTAAATTCCGCTAGTTCGTTCAGTTAGTTAGTTACTCTAGCACTGTTTGCTAGAAGACGTCGTTTGGTCTTTCGTTGATCTTTGTATTAATAATTATAACAAATGTCAGATAGTCGTGATATAAAAGAAACTTAACAATGAGAAATAAAAATAGTTTAAAAATTGTGTAGGTTCAATTGTAGTTGGATCGGGGTAGAATCTAAAGTCCTCGAGGGAAGTATATTTAAGGACCAGAAGAATTGTATTCGAGCGATTTTCTTTTCGTGGTTCGATGAAAGTTGCAAACCGCTGTTCAAAAAGCTAAACATATGTACGACTTAACGCAATAACTGCAAATATGCAGACAACAAATAAATAAATAAGTAAATAAACAAATAAAAATATTTTATTCTTCAACACTGCCACGATACATAAAAACTTAAAATAGTGGCTTAAAATCCAAATCTGTGTTGAAGAAAAGGTAACAGCCTCAGCGATTTGCTGGTTTTCAGGCTTCACCTTGATGTACTTTACATTGTATATAATGTAAAGAGAGACACCGCAGTATGCAGTTTCCAATTAAGTATATAACCTCTTTTTATTTTTTTATTTATTTTTTATTTATTTATTTATATCAGGTAACAAAGACCCATGTATACATACCTTATAGACTAACATACATAACAATATAAAAACAAAATACACCTATATTATATATACCTTAAAACAAACATACATACAATATAATAATAAAAACTAATCTACACGATTTCCCTTATCGGCGACGTGTGGCGCAATCTGGTGTCAGGTAACCAGCCGCGGAATCGCCGATATATGACACCCTTCGGCCAAAATTCCTCTTTCATGAAGGTCGAAAGATGTTCGGTCGGTATTCTCACCACAAACGAATTAAAGAACTTAAACTTTTGTTGGTAGGTCAATGAATCTCTTTAAATTAAGTATTCAATCTTTTAGCAGCCTCAGGGTCGTATTCTAGAACTCTACTCAATGCTCAAGTCAGGACTTGAGTATGATTTAGAGCACTGAAAATCATGCTCAAGTCCTTGCCATTAGGGTCGTATTTCCAGTGCTTGAAATCATACTCAAGTCTGCTCAAGACCTGACTTGAGCATTGAGTAGAGTTCTGGAATACGAACCTTAGTCTGTTGACTATTATTTCCATGGACTAACTATCATTTCATAATCAGATGCAGATAGATAGATAACATGTTTATTCAGCACAAATACAAACAGAAACAAAACATTTACAATCACTTCACAGAGTACAACATAAAAGCACATAGAACATTCATTATTAATTTCATACACATTCATATAAAACACATACTGCGAGAAAAACAAATACTGTGAGAAAAACAAACAAATACTATAAGAACTGATAAAATTTTAATGTACCTATGACTACAGTTTGTGCTGAAATGGCCCTGACTCAGCATAAATACTGTAGACCGAGAGAAGGCAAGCAGTGCTGGTTTTCTGCTAGTACCATGTGGTGATGGTAAAAGTAAAAGTGTAAAATGTAAGGCTGTATTTGTTGTTATATCAAACCCATCGATTAAGGTAACATCTATGTAGCGAGACATCTGCTCAGACAAAAGATGTTTATTGTATTCACGATTAAACCGTTTTTTATTATCGATGTCACGCAATGGAGGAGAAATTCATTATATTAGTAAGAATCTCAAGTTCAAGAGAGTCTAATGCCTTACTTACTAGGAATCTCCAACATGCCAGTGTCAACCATCCAAAGTCTTCCGCAACGGTCAGCTCTCGTCCGGTATACGGAAGTGAGATAGCTGGAGGCGCTGAAGTTGGGGTACGGGCGGAGAGAAGGAGAGCGGGTGTTGCTGTCCTGGTCCAGGTGGAGATAGTTCAGAGTCGCAGGGATGCCTGGAAGAAAAAAACTTTTTTATAAATTCAATTTTGCTGATTTTGTATTCAGAATCACACTAAACTGCTACCATCAATCATAGGTACACATTTTGAACCGACTTCAAAAAAAGAGTTCCATACGACTGTTTTTTTTTTCTTTTGTATGTTACGCGATAACCTTTGTGAACAGATTTCGATGATTCTTTTTTTGTTGAAAAGAGGATACCTCAGTATTGGTCCCATTTAAATTAGAAGAAAATATTCCACCTTTAAGGGTGGGAAACTAGGGGATGAATCTAGTTTCGCGTAGTTTCCGGTAACCGATTTCAATAAAACTTGGCAAATAGATCGATACCTCTAATGAACGCCAACTTTTTCATGTTCCGTTATTTTTGTAAACAGCCATATTTGTTTACTAATATTATGCTACCCGAATTTTGTGAATAAAAATAAAGAAACTAAAAACTAAATTGGAAAAAAATAAGGAAACAAAAAAAAAAACAAACTAAAAACAGAACAGGACCAAAAATTAAGGAGGTGTAGTGTTCATTGGAGATATCGAAAAATAAGTCGACGAACTTTAGAGGTTGGTTTTTTGCAATAAAGTTATAATTATAATTTTTTAATATTAGTGAGATATAATGACATAAAAACAAACCATATCTTCGTCTTGGCAGTGTGATGAAAACCCGTCTTCCGACCCTCTCCACGCCCATTGGTAGGTTGTTGTATTGAACGAAAAACTGCCGGGATTCATCTGTAAATAAAGCTTTGGGTCCTTTGTATGAGAGGCTTCCAAACTTTCAATCTGGTACCCTTAGAATAATAACGCATAGAATGATAGTTTCATATCAAACGAACTGTCACAAGTGAGGCAAAAGTCAAATTCATGTAGGCTAGTTTTAGTAGTAGGTTAATTTTCGGTTTTAGTGAATATTTATATAAAAATACAAGTTGAAATGCGTTACTTCCTTGTGGAATGTGCTGTTAGTATCTATTTTATGTTTGTCTGAGGTATTTTTACACTAATTTACCGCACATTTCGTCATTTTTAGCTAAAATTCTTGAGCTGTTCGCGGTGCAAGTTGACCTTGAGCACTGACGGCCCGCCCGCTCGTGTAGGCCCATTGGGAGAGGCCCATTGGGAGCGCTTCAATTTGCCTCACTTAGCGTGTGCGGACTAGGTTTCCATGAGTTATTATTCTAAGCTGGTACCTATATTTTCAAGATTTCTTTGTATTCCGAAGTTTTCTTGAATATGTTTGATTTTGTTTTAACGCTACCTTAGTACTTAGGACCCATCAATATGTCGTTTTCAACAGCCTCTCGTTATAGAATACCTAAAATTATCCCAACGAGACTTATTAGCGCGTTTGCGCATTACACCCGAGGAGACCTAAGACACAGGGTATCCTAGTTTAGGCTCCTGTCTCACAAAATTGAATAGTGAAACTCTATATTGTTACTATGTATCTATCTGATGTTAGAGAAAATAAAACATTATTTAGGAATGAAACTATTTTTCCGGATTTAAATCGCGTATATGTATTTGTTTTTTCAAACAAACCGACGTTTCGGGCCCTTTAACGGGTCCCATGGTCACGGTTGACATCCGTCAACAGTCAACCGTAACCGTAACCGTAACAATCGCGAAAACCTAAGAACTCGATAAAACATTATTATTCGTTCTGTAGGTGTCCCTACATTTAGCATTGTAATCATTTTCAAGTTTAGTATTGATACGCGCGCCGCGCGCTACCAGTCGTTCCCTCACCGCCGTCCGCATGTATGATCAAAAATGTATTTAATTGGAGTCAAAACTATGCGATTTCCACGTGAAATAACATTGTGTTATTAATTTGCCATGTAGAAGACCTAACATACGACCCTAAAGTTCCAAATCCGAGGCTATACAAATCTAGATATCTCGGCCCCTCTTCGGATGTCGCTTGTGTACTAAGTCCCAGTAAGTTTGTTTCTTAATGAAAGGCTTGTGAGACTAATTTATTCGGTGACTCGGAGGGAGTATCGAAGAAATACGAATACCGCTTGTACGCCTAGAGATAAAATGATACTTCGGACATCTGTGACATTTCGGACTGTCATATGTACAACTCACGCCTGACCAAATAATTATTTTCATATATTGACTTGAAAGAGAGTAGAAAAAAAGATTTAATGGTTCCTAGGACAGGTTCCCTGTATTTCCTATGGTTTCGGATTTCTCCACGCTGTCCCAGTTAAAAAAACACTTTACTATGTATTTTTAATTAATAGATTATATAAATTAAAGATAAATATAAGATGCATTCTACAAAAACCGCAGTTATTCGCTAAATAAATACCAACATGTTAAGATTCTAAGTAACTTCGGAAGAAATTAACTACGCGATATTCCACACTTACCTGATGAAGGCCGCGGCGTCGTTGTAGATGTTGAGGATGGGCCTACAAATAAACATAGATAAGTAATTTTTTTTTATTATAAACATTTTTAATTACTTACAAAAAAATAGTAAAGAACTAATAATATTAATGAAAGAAATAGTGGCTAGTATCAACCCAATTTATAACTCCAACTGCTGGGCAGGGGGCTCTTTTCTGGCGAGGGTTTAGGCCATGGTCCGCCATGCTGGCTTAAACTCAAGCAGAGGCCGTGGATTTAAATCCAGTCTCGCAACTCTGAGAAATTCAACGAGTATATAAACAGAAATAGAGACGAAATAAGGGCCATCCATCCCGGGCAAGTTTTTAGAAGCGGCAGATCTCCTTGTGAAAGAGTTCGTCCAGGGAAATACTGCCTCCTCACCTATTTCTGCTGCCAAGCAGTTATGTCAGCATTATTGCGTTCCGGTTTTGACGGGTAAGGGTGCTGGTGAAATTACAGGCACATGGAACTTGTCAACTTATGTCTCAGGGTGTCGGGGGCAGTGGCAGTGCTCCTCAGATCTTTGTGATTTAAAGCTCTGAGTGGCACTGCAACTGTTACGGACAGGCGTGTCGCTTACCATCAGACACATGACTTGTTCGTCCCGTCATTTAGTATTATAAAAAACACGCTGAAAGCACAAATTAGAAAACTGAAATAGTACAGCGCCAACAACTGGCCTGTGTGTACGTCTCCGTATATTCCAAAAATATTCTGTATTTATTGTAATAAAGATAATATCTCTAACAATGGGGGCTGTTCCATTCGGTGGTGTGGGAAAAACAGCAAAACATCTAATTACAAAACAAACGGTTACATTTCTTCAGTAATGAAATATTAAATATGTAATTTTTCAATTTTCGTCCATTATAGCAAAGCTCAAATTAAACTGGTCGATTTGAAGTGAAACAATTGACGACACCCGTCAATTGTTTCGAATTCGGGCTGGCCAATCGGAGCGCAGTTGTCAGCGTAATGATATGGCAGAATAGTTTTCAAACAAATTAAATGACATTTCGTCTCTATTTTTGGTTATATACTCGGCGGAAAAATTTAATATGAAATTTACCAAGAACTCTTCGGTGAAGGTAAATATCGTGAGATAAACTGCATGTCGTAAAAGGTTCACAACCAGAGATGGGCAAGCGCCCGGATTTTAACTCGGCGCTTTGTTAATGCCGTATATAATAATTAAATCGGGTTAAAATCCAATGTCGCCCGAATGTGAAGGCAAAATCTATTTACAACCAAATATTTGTTAAGTCGAGCTTCGTTTAAATGTAATGATATTATTACAAAATGTTTATGCTTGCTTACATATTTTGCTTTTCTATTGAATCGATTCACTTGACAATCGTATTAAAATCGATCGATTAAATAAATCGTTACATCATATACAATTGAATCGATCTTCACAAAAAATGAAGTGGAAGGCCACAGGATTGCAAGGTTTATTGTGTGAAGTTCACTCTTTTTCGTTTAAAAAATATTTTTTTATATCGAATTTCCTACAGTATACCGGCACGTTATGATGGCCGTTTTGACAGATTACAATAGTGAGGTCAAATCGCGTTTCATTATCGAAAAAAATGTAATCAAATGCGAGTCACATCTATAAGTTTTTAGATTTATAACTACTATAGGTTAATTTAGTCTTAGTTTATTAAGGTTAATGTAAGAGTAATGTTTAATTATTAATTGTAAAGAAGAGCGATGTTTCCTAACACAGGCCTTATCAAGCCTAAAAGGAAACATCAGCCCCTGAATTATGCCATGTACAGAGAAGTAATAAAATATTTTTATTTTTATTTTTATTTTTTATTTTTATTTTTATTGCAAGGGGTAGCGGATTAAAAAGTTTTAATAAAACGAAAATAAAAATGTTTACTTAATATATCGTCAATTCGAATCTGCTTTGTTTTGCATTGAGCTTTGACGCGAGTTTGCCGGAGGTAGAAGTTGTGCTGGCCAGCAATAAAATATATACGGGACGATCGTATTAGATTAATTTTTTTTTAAATTTCGAATTTCGAACAACAAATGCCGAGTTGTGTCGTAAAATTATACATTCCATAAATTTTCACGTCCTTATTGACATAAATTAAACAGCAATTAGCTCCGTCAAACTTAGATGATGAGCGGACAACCGTCAAAACGGCCATCATAGCGTGCCGGTACAATAATAAGTATGGATCCTATTTACTACGTGTTATTACACGTTTACGCCCACGATTTTGGACAGCAATGGGTTAAAACACGGCGCTTTGGGCAAACACCCGGTATTGGTGACTGGGTTTTAACCCACTCTCCATCTTTATTCACAACCCTTGGAAAACGTGTATAGTCTCCAACCCGTGTTGGGCTTCGCTTGAGAGGAGACTCGTGCCCGGCAGTAGGATGTATAAGCGGGTTGGTGATGATGATCCGTCCATGCACATATACCAACTGCGCTGCTGTGTTTGTGTAAAGGCATTCTACTTGTTTTATTATTACATGGTAAAAGATAATAAGAAAAGAAAGAACTAACGATTCCAGCCGGTGTTCCGTGAAGGTCGTATTGTAGTAGTCGTTCTGAGTCGTGAGTTTTCTAGAAAGAAAGAAAGAAAGAAAGAGAGAAAGAAGATGTTATAAGCAATAATGATACTAATGTAGCCATAACCGGGTTAATCAGAATTTACCAAATAAGTAAAATGTAAGTTTTGTAGAATATATTTCGATGTTTTCATAACTTTTATTTTGCATTACGTGGTTAAATTCCATAAAACTCTATTTTACTTTTTTGTTGACTTTATACAATAATGATTTTGAACCAAGCACACAGTGATGAGCAGAGCAAGCAAAACTTTATCGTGAACAAAGCATCCATTTTGACTTAAGAATTTCTTGATGTAAGAAAATGAATGCTTGTTTTGACTTAAGAGTAAGACAATGACTGATTGTTTTGACTTATGAATCATTTGACGTAAGAAAATTTGTGCTTGTTTTGGCTTAAGAATCTTTTGACGTAAGAAAATGAGTGCTTGTTTTGACTTAAGAATCTTTTGACGTAAGAAAATGGATGCTTGTTTTGACGTAAAATGTGAGTGCTTTAATCACGATAAAGTTCCTCTTGCTTGTTCTCGCTGCATGCTTAGTTCAAAATCATACTATTTTGAAATACTGCGTTATTGTATAAAAATAGTAATATACACAATTTGTATTCAAACAATCATTAATTATATGTTTCGCAAATAAATACCGTTTATACAGAATTTGTATTTGTTATTTACTTTATCAGTATTATTGATTTTATTGTTAATATATGAATCTGTTATTCGCCGTGTTGTTAAGCGGTCGTGAGGTGAGAGAGCTCATCTAGTGGAAACTGTATAATGAAATTCTAGAAATGTGATATTGAAAAGAAAGAAATATAGAAAAAAAATTTGAAAGTAAGGCAGAAACACATAAACTGTATACTTAACTACATATATACATAGCTAAATCTAAGTTATACGAGCTCTAAAATCCGTGGAGTCGCAGTAAGTAAAAAAAACTGTAGTAAATTATTTTCTATCAACGTATGTTTCTCGAAAAGTACAATTTGGGGCTATTCAAGGTTAGAGTGAATAGGCATTTTAAAGGCAAACGCGTTCTTTCGTCGGTTACATCGTCGCTTAACATCAGGTCAACTTAACATGCGGTCAAGCGCATGTCTATTATATATTAAAAAAAGTAGCTTCACTATCAAAAATCACTACTTGATTGATATGTTTATAAACAAAATATTAAAAAATATACAGTCAAGAGCACACCATGCTCAGTTTTGCGATCTACTCCGTATGCTGATCAGGTCATATTGAAGATATAATCATTATGATATCGACCCTCAAATACTTGGAAATGGGAAGCAGACCAAAATATTAATAAAACTGCGTGGACACTACGATGCACGCCATATATTACATACATACATTGTATTATATTATAGACATATTGTCTCTTATCACATTAATGTTGGTGTGCGGTAGAAAGGGCGTAGCTCGTTGTTTAGTGTTCACTACCTAATTTCCATGGCAATTTTTATTATTTAAGTTTTCGATTTTTTTTATCGAGCAATGTTATTTAATATTTAAGTACCTACTGTATCATGAAATATTATAATAATAATTCTTTATTGCACAAAGAAAAGACACAAGTCACAAAGGACATATACAAAGGTGAGCTTATCTCTAGAAGAGATCTTCCAGCCAACCCTAGCCTAGGTGTAAAATGAAGTCTGCGGGACTAATTATTGTACAATAAAATTAAAAATACAAATGTGTATATATGTATATATATGTATACTTAGAATAATAACGCATAGAATGATAGTTTCTTATCAAAAGAACTGTCACAAGTGAGGCAAAAATCAAATTCATGTAGGCTAGTTTTAGTAGTAGGTTAATTTTCGGTTTTAGTGAATATTTATATAAAAATACAAGTTGAAACGCGGTACTTCCTTGTGGAATGTGATGTTAGTATCTATTTTATGTTTGTCTGACGTATTTTTACACTCATTTACCGCACATTTCGTCATTTTTAGCTAAAATTCTTGAGCTATTCGCGGTGCAAGTCCGCCCGCTCGTGTAGGCCCTTTGGGCGCGCTTCAATTTGCCTCACTTAGCGTGTGCGGGCTAGGTTTCAATGCGTTATTATTCTAAGTATGTATATATATGACAGACGTACACTACATGAACTTTATATACATAAATACATACATGAATACATAAGCATAATATATATTATAATTGAAACAAATTACTAGTATACATATATATATGTTACCGATTAGCTATCTAACGCGTTCGACAGGTAGTGCTCTTTTAATTTGTGTTTGAACGAGGCTTCCGATGGACTGTCACGAATGAAAGCAGACAGTTTATTCCACATACGAGTTGCACTTACCGTGAAAGAGTTGTAGAAGAATTTCGAGATGAATTGGAGATATAATAGTGATCTAGTGTCACAGGTACGTTTTGGGCGGGAACTGGGGGATGAGGGAGAAAAACGGGAACACAGATAATAAGGAAGCTGGGGGTAATGCAGAATTTTGTAAAGGAGACAAAGAACGAGCATACCTCGGCGAAGTCGGATTGGTAGCCATTTCAATTTGGTCCGAAATTCAGAGACAAATGGTCATATTTACGTAAACCGAATATGAAACGAATTTTGTATTATTTAATAATTACACGAAAATATATTTGAATATTTTAGGCGTGAAACATACAGAGAGCGGGTGCGAGTCGGGCGCGAGTCGGGCGCGAGTCGGGTCGGGACCGCGGCGGGTCTAATTCTGTGTATTTATATGGACGTCGATGGCGTTATAAATATAATAATAAAAATTGCCATGGAAATTAGGTAGTGAACACTAGTTCCAGAATTACTTGTTTCAGCTTGGATTTTGTATCGTTCTTGTCGCAAACGACATAGGGTCGTATTCTAGAACTCTACTCAATACTCAAGTCAGGACTTAGTATTGCAGTGAGCACTGAAAATCATACTCAAGTCCTTGCCATTAGGGTCGTATTTCCAGTGCTCGAAATCATACTCAAGTCTGCTCAAATACTGACTTGAGCATTGAGTAGAGTTCTGGAATACGACCCATAGAGCGGTATTGAAATCATTACTTACGTGTATTCCAATCTCGTTCACCTTCGTTGTCGTTGTGAAAAACGATATCGCTTGTGTGTCTTTTTTGTACGCCTTCACTGGTAGACTCCTCCTGGACGTCCAGTTCTCCGAACCGATCTTGAAGAGCTGAAAGAAACAGAAAATTAGTTCCACGAAATCCGCGGAGTATTTATTATTTTTTATTTTTTTATTTCAGGCCACATGGCCCATATAATATATACCTTAGGGACTAACATACATACAATATGATAAAACACTATTTCTAACTAATCTAAACACGAATTGCACCCGGCGACGTGCGACGCAATCCGGTGTCGGGTAACCGGCCGCGTAATCGCCGATATATGACACCCTTCGGCCAAAACTCTTCCTTCAGAAAAAGAAGAAGGTCGACAGATGTTCGATCGGCACTCTCGCCACAAGCGAATTAAAATTCACGTTGTGGCGAGACTCGCTTTGAGCCTCATGTACTCCACTATCTCCTCAGATTTCGTGGCGTAATGTAGTCGCGACAGGTACATCAATGTCGTCGGTACGGCCGGACGCAGCAGGAAGTTCGGTCCTGTCGGTGCCACACAGGTTACGGCTGGTGGGCTTCCTCTTCCTCTTCACCACCGTTTGTGAAGCCGTCCTCGTTGCATTGATCCGTCTGCCTCTGTGGTTTTGCAACTTCAGAGACAGGTACACGGGGATCACTTTTGCTCTTATCCTATTGCCGCCTCTCGAGTCTCGAATGATTAATATGAACTATTAAATAATATGGCCAAAAAACAGCCGTGGTAGTCTAATGGTTTGAACAACCGCCTCTCAAACAGAGGCCGTGGGTTCGAACCCGGTCTCGCACATCTGAATTTCTCGTAATTTAATTTGAAATTTACCATGAGCTTTTCGGTGAAGGAAAATATCGTGATGAAACTTGCACGGCGAAGGTTCACAACCCAATCTAGTGACAAGACGAACACACTGTGTGCGTGCTGTTCATAACAGTTGCAGTGACGCACAGGGCTTTAAATCTCAAATTTAAAATTTATATAACCCTCGGCGTCCTCAGGCTTTTGTCCTAAATGTTATTAAAAACGACACACCCTTTTACAATCCCATAACAAGAATGTGTCGCAAATAATGACCTTATTAAGAGGGAACATAGGAAAAATTCCTAATCTTCGATTTGATTTTAGAGGGATATATCCACTTTAAAGTTAAAAATAAAATGTTGTATGAGTAACTACACGATATATTCAAGCATAGACACTAATCAGAAACATAAAACAATAATGTTTCCTCGATGGATAAAAATCACGAAATGACCTCTAATTTTCACATTTATTCCGATTCATCTTCGAAATGCTACAGGTTATTAGGACAAAATTAGATAATTAATTATATTTATGCATGATCGAGAACTGTCACTACGGATTTTTTGAAATCCCTTTAGTTTTGGAGTTATTGCGCTAAAACGAATTTGGTACTTTTAATGCGCAAAATTCAACATCTCCTGTCGCATGTCACGCGAACTTCAGGCATATATTTGTCTCACAAATGTGGGCGGAGCCAACGTCAAAACTTTTTTGGCAAGCTCCCTCTTAAGGACAATAAACAATTAATTCTAAGTGTCTCGTGTTTAAAAAGTCCGTATCAGATATCCTCAAGTAGGCCAGTTACAATATAAAAATGAAAATTATGATAATTCCATTTTAACACTTTTTTCTTTCTTTTTTGTATTTTCTTTTATATATTAGCATCAAAATAAATTTTGCAATTTATAATTAATTGACAGCAACTTTCCTAAATCTGAGAGGGGTTGGCATTCTGGTCCAAATCTAGTTTTAAATGTCGACTTTTGTTTTTAGATGTCGACTTTCGACTAATAAATAAAAAAAATCTGAGAGGCACTGCCACAGTGCCCGTCTCCCTGAGACATAGTTGACAAGTCCCATGTGCCTGTAAATTCACCAGCACCGTCATATGCTTCAAAACCGGAACGCAGTAATGCTCACATTACTGCTTGGCGGTAGAAATAATTAAGGTGGCAGTACTTCACAAGGAGCTCTACTACCTACTACTACAAGAGATATTAAAATATAATCTCAGTACAGAGTACTAAAAAAACCGACCTCAAAAGTAAGTGGAATTGCGTCTATTTGCTAAGTTTTATTGAAATATCCCCTAGTTCGCCACTATACAGGACTTGACACTGGAGATAATAAAAATCGGTTCTCACTACTCAAAGTATATTGAGAGAAAAACGCCTTGAATTGGAGAAATAGCAAAATCAACCATTAAAGTAATTGCTCCTAAATTAATGTTAGGCGCTATTTATGAAAACGAATCTTCATGCGTGAACAGCCACCCTTCGAGGTGGATGATTTTCTTCAAAATGAAATGGGACCACTATGGAAGTACCCCCTTTCCAACAAAAAAAGAATCATGAAAATCGGTTCACAAATACCGGAGTTATCGCGTAACATACATACAAAAAAAAGAACATGCAGACGAATTGAGATCCTCCTCCTTTTTTGAAGTCGGTTAAAAACGACATTACAGTCCATTGTGTGTCACTCGGATCGGTATATGCCAGGAAACTGTATAATTAAGGAAACTGTATAATCAAGTATAATTACGGATACCCAAAAACACAATGACATCTCTATTACGATTTTTTGTTCAGATCCAAGGTCCATTGATGGATTTTTTGGAGAATAAACACGCCTGCATTTTGGTAGAGCCACATTAAGAATAAAATCTAACTTGGGACCTCTGCGTCACAGACCAGCATGGTAATTCGGCCACGGAGGCAGTTGATTTATGTACATTTTTGTATAATTCAAATATCTATAATAGATACAATCAGAAAGAGCTAAATAGGTCATTACTTTGGATTTTGGTTGTCCAAGTTGTATAATAAAGAATCTTTAGTATAAAGTTTTTGTTACACTGTTGTTTTAAACCTCGTGAATGGCCAGTTTTGAATACCAACCGGAAGCTTATTATCTTTTTAAATGATAGCGTTAGTTTTTGTCATAGCATAGACAAGTCTGTGGCACTTTACAGCGTGTTAACTTGGTTCGTCCATGAAAATACTGTCACCGTAACTATATCTGCTTCCAAGCATTAATTTGAGCATTACTGCTTTCCGGTTTTGAGTAGTGCTGGTGAAACTCTGTAGTTTCATATCTGTATATATTTATAGGAAATGTAAATATTAAACACTAAAAAATTAAGTATGATATCGAGTTCCTTGGTTTTGCGATTGTTACACATAAGAAATGAAACTATTTTTCCGGATTTAAATTGCGTATATTTGGTTTTTCAAACAAACCAACGTTTCGGACCCTTTACAGGCCGATTTAAATCCGAAAAAATAGTTTCATTTTGTAAATTAAGTATGAGTTAAAAATGTTAAATATGTAATAGCTATGGGAGAGCGGTGCCTCCTGACACAGGCTTAATAAGCTTTATAGGAGGTACCATCCACTATTAATATAAAGTTAATGGTATTAAAGAAAAAAAAAAGAAAAGTGGTATTAAAGAAAATGGTAATATAAGAAAAAGTTTATTATATCTCTATTGTCCCCGTCAGAGTGCGGCGCTGCTCATCCCACCGGCTACACACCTCTAGGGCGTGCTGCGCGGTGTCATCCGCAGCGCCACACTTGTGGCACGACGGGGACGGTTCCTTCCCGCTACCTTGTGCAGGTAGTGACCGAAGCAGCCGTGTCCGGTCAGCACCTGCACAAGGTGGTACGACAGTGGCCCGTGGGACCGGCTCACCCACTCTACGAGGACAGGATGGATCGCCCCTATGATACGAGCTCCATAGGGGGGATCCGCCAAGCCCTCTTTCCACCGGTCCCGCAACAAAGAGCGACCCCTAGAGTTTCTTGCTCATTCTTCTCAGGGGAATCTGCCTTACGAATGAGCGGTAGAGTTTAACCATTGTGACGATTTCAAGTGTAATAATACTCACCTATGAAATAAAGATTATTTTGATTTGATTTTTGATATTACAAATCGCGCAGTTGAACGTGTCATTATTTTTTATTCCCTCGAAATAAAAAGTTACGTGCACCACAGTCCACCGTCATATTCTAATTTCAAAAAGCTTTTCCACGCTAGCGTCCAAAAGACGCTTTTGCGCGCAGATTTTTAATGACAAAGCAAGCCATTCCAGGCTAGTGAGGTGAAAAGATTCTATTAATATCGGTGGCATTACCCCAAAGCAAAAATTTTGCTATGATGTATGTCATTTAAATTCCACTTGGTAAAAGTCCTTCGGGTGTACCGCAATCAAAACATCCTACAGACATTCATAAATCACATTTACATTATGATTACCAAGGTCAGTATAAGGAAAATTTCAATAGCAAACGCATTTAAAAGCATTACTTAACACGTTCGTCGCCGACTAGAATTTTCAAAAATAACATAGACTAATATGACTGTTTTTGGTCTCATTTATACATACGTACATGTATATATGTTTTATCGCGATATTTTATTATTTGACTCTATATTGGGATTATTTTTAGTGCTGGGCATTTCAAGCCGGCGCGACCTGAACGCAATAATTGTTACGTTTAGGCCGCGGAGGTCACAATTCCGGGGAGAGTACGTAACACGTAATGTTCGATCGATGTTTACCAAAAACTTACGTTCGTCTTTCAGTTGAGATTGACATTACACATTAAAAATAATGAATGATTGAATGAAATATTCTTTATTGCACATTAAAATTACGAATGACAACACAAAACAGTAATTATCACAGAGTTAGATAATGTACAACAGGCGGCCTTATTGCTAAGTAGCAATTTCTTCCAGACAACCTTAGAAATTTAAGATTTGGAATGGGCGGTGCAGCTAAAGAATATCATGCAATGAAAGCGTTTTAAATAAATACACTGCTCATCAATAAAGTAAATACATAATAAAAATAAATACATGTACACTCCCGGACACATCATTCGAGCCACCTAGCATTTTTGTCGTAAATGGCTAGAACGCAGTGCTAATGAATTGCCTTCAATTCTGTTTAGTTTTTTGTTATTAATAATTCCTAATTTTATTTAAATAATGTAGTTTTCTTATTAAATTATTTGTAATTTTATTTTAATAATGTATATGTTTTTTTGTAAAGCAGGGACATAGTGCCCTCAGAATGTTGCAGTGCCCCTACGGGGTTATACATGTCAAGTACCATTAGCATAAGAACACCTGTTATATAACCATGTAACTTGCAAATAAAGAATGTGAATGTGCAATTATAATGCAAATAAAACGAAGAAACAAAATTCCCCCCGGTTTTGCAAATCCAAATTCCCAACGAGAACTTATGGAAAAGACGTTTAGTATACTAGTTTCAAAATTGCATACAAACATTGTTTAAGCTTAGGACACTTAATACTGAAAACGCGTGGTGGCTCGAATTATGTCCGGAAGTGTGTATTATTAGAACGTATACGTAAATATTTTGCTTAGTTTGTAAGTTATAAATGAAATATAAATAAAGTAGGTATGCCATCAAAAATCCTAAATACCAAGTGGCAACAGAATTTCGTGAACGCGTGAACGAGCATCGCTAAGTTAGCTGTGTCGTGTGGGTCATTTTAAGGCCCCACGGCCCCAATAGGTAGGTGAGATGCCGGTCATTTTGACCCACCGCGGCGATGAACGTGTTAACGTTTACTTAGAACACATTACGTAATTACTGGAAATATTTGAAAAATAAAGGTCAACATGGTAATAACAAATACTTTAAATAACTTAAAAAAACTTGTGTGCAAGTAAAAAAAAAGCGCAACGCACTCATAGCCCCGCACTACGGGAAATCCCGGGTGCCAAGGACACACACATAGACATCCATAAATTACACTCAAACTCACGAGATAAATAAATGTAAGCCATACATATATTTCTCCCGGCTTGGGAATCGAACCCAGGACCTGTGTGTACCAGACCAGCAAGGTAACCGTTCAGCTACTGAGGCAGTTAGATAAATACTTTTCATGTACCTATTTTTTATCAACTGGACTAAATGGAATACGCATATTAAACACGGTCTCCTTAAACACGGTTCTGGCAGAATACCAGCGTCGTGGGAAACCGTGGCATTTATATTGAGCCAGTGCTTTTCACTGCCATTACTTCCAAAACTGTTTACTTTAAAATTTAATTAATACAGTGAATAGCGACATCTCCCGCCAGGACTGGTAGCTGTAAAGGTACTAACTGGGTGATAAATCTGTCATAGATTTCTCATAGATTTCATAATTTTTTATTGAATTGATATTCAATTATTTTTTGCGAAATTACTCCACTAGTTGGTTATAATTATTAATACAAAGATCGAACATTCAGAAAAAACACTCAGAAAAAATTCCTTCGATCCGGTCGGATTCGAACCGACGTCTTCTTGCATACCATGCCAGACACTATACCAACTAAGCCACGGAAGTTGAAAGACCAAGTACAAAGACACGACGCAAGCACATAGAAGAATTCGTGAGGTCAGTTGGTTCGTTCCGTGGCTTAGTTGGTATAGCGTCTGGCACGGTATGCAAGAAGACGTCGGTTCGAATCCGACCGGATCGAAGGAATTTTTTCTGAGTGTTTTTCTGAGTGTTCGATCTTTGTATTAATAATTATAACAAACTAGTGGAGTAATTTCACAAAAAATAATTGAATATCAATTCAATAAAAATTTAACTGTTTACTTTAATTAGTTATTATATTACTTTTATTTGGTTGTAAAAATTTGTTATTTTAAGTGGTTCAATATAATAATAATTATCGTGTTACTTTTAGTGGATCCTATGTAAATAAGTTGTCATGGAAGAGAATAAAGTTTTTATTTATCTATCTATATATTATACGATATACGTTATTTAAATAGCTTTAATTTCGTTATTAGTACGGGAAAATTTTTAATTCGAGCTGCGGTAAGTGTAGACCTTTAGTTCCCAAAGTGGTCCAGGTGGACACCCAGGGGTCTACGTTGGCGTGGCAAAAAATAATTTGGATATGGAATATGGTAGAAATGTAGCCGGGGTTCCGCCGGAACCAGCTAAATTTTGAAAGTGGTCTATAAGAAAAAAGTCTAGCAACATCTGGTATAGACTATTAATTTAAAAACCGGTATATTGTACCGACATTAATAACAACAATTCATGTAGCAGTAGAGGTCCTTGTCAAAGAGTTCGTCCAGGGTAGTACTGCCATCTTACCTATTTCTGTCAGTAATGTCAGCATTACTGTGTTCCGGTTTTTTAAGGTTAAGGGTGCTGGTGAATTTACAGGCACATGTGTAAGCATTTTTATAATTTTAATCATGCAATGTATTTGTAATAATCATAGTAATATAGAAGATTAGATAATGAGTACAGTTGTTGTTTTGAACAAGTCCTGAGTATAGGACTTGAGTAGCCTAGTGATGTTGAATATTACCGTTTAGGAACTTAATTATACAGCCTGATTATTACTGTCATTAATTATACATCACGATAATTATATATTATCCTTATTACTATAAGTAAATCTAACTGTGGTTTCAATGTACGAATGTTTAGTCTAATAGTATTGAGTATAGGATTTGATTCGTCGTCTTCGTATTCAATAGTGGGGATAAAAACTATGTAATATTGGTAAAATGTTCAGTTCTGTTGTAGATTTTTGGTTTGAAAATACGAATAAACGAATAGTGCAAGAAGTGGTGGTACTCATTTTTACACATGGGACTTGTCAATTTATGTCTCAGGGTAACGGGCGCAGTGGGAATTTGCAATTTAAAGCTCTGAGTGGCACTGTAACTGTTATGGACAGGCGTGTAGCTTGCCATCAGGCGTACGACTTGTTCGTCCCGTTTCTTGACGTAATTATGTAAAATATAATAATAATAAAACGTTGGTTTTAATCCATTTTTTTCAAAGTGGTTTTTTTTCAGATTTTTTGTAAATAACAACTAGTAATAAAATATCGTGGTGGTCAAACATCTTAACATTCAATAAAACTTAAAAAAGGTAATAATTTATATTTCGACCCTTTGATTCCTATAAAAAGAAGTTTATGGATTTATGGTCTATTTCTTTAAGTACCTAAATGTAAACAATCCTGATACATCTTTTTATTGAAACATATACTTTACAAATTAATAGGCATAAAAATAGACATGGAATTTCATATGAAGCTAAATATTTGTATTTTGTACTTGAAAGTAAATAAAAATTATTTTATAAATGCATATTTCGTTAAATAGACATATCAAAATTGTTTACATTTAGTTAAGTACATAAACAAATGGACTATAGTAGTGATATCTTTGTTAAATTTACTTACGCATACTTCCTTGTATGTTAAAAGTTATTTGCTTCCAGGCAAATACCTCCTGGAAGGGCCCTAGGGTCCTCACGATTTGGCTTGTAACGGTTGAAGCCGCCAGGAGCAGGGGAAGAAAGACGAGCTGACGCATCTTGATAATGGTCTGAAATTCAAAGAACACACGTTCTTGATATAAATTAAAAACGTGAAATAGTTTTGTTTTACTATGGTTTCAAACCTCGTGAGTGGCAAATATTGAGTTACAACCAGTAACTGCAGAGGCGTGTCTAATTATTTATCTTATAATATCCTATAAATAAATTTGTGAAGACGACTGTCTAGAATAACCGGTTTCTGCATAATGGGTACAAAAATATATACATGTCCGGTTTTTGTTTTCAAATACCTAACATTTAAATAAGTTATGACGCCTCAAAGTTTTGCGAAAAATCGTAAATAATATTGACACCTGATGGTTAGCAGACGCGCCGTTGCTATAACAACAAGAACGGTGTGTGACGCGTAAATGGCAATATGAATTTAGAATAACATTAAGAGCTCTCACGCCAAAAAAGTTTTGACGTTGGGTGCGCCCAAATTTGTGAAACAAATATATGCCTGAAGTTCGCGTGACATGCGACATGTTGAATTTTGCGCATTAAAAGTACCAAATTCGTTTTAGCGGAATAACTCTAAAACTAAAGGGATTCAAAAAAATCCGTAGTGACAGTTGTCGATCATGCATAAATATAATTAATTATCTAATTTTTGTCCTAATAACCTGCAGCATTTCGAGGATAAATCGAAACAATGTGTAAATTAGAGGTCATTTCGTGATTTTTATCTACCGAGGAAACTTTATTGTTTTATGTTTCTGATTAATGTCTATGCTTGAATATACCGTGTAGTTACTCATACAATATTTTATTTTTAACTTTAAAGTGTATATACCCCTCTAAAATCAAATCGAAGATTAGGAATTTTTCCTCTGCTCCCTCTTAATAAATAAATGTCAATTGCTTTACCATGTTTGCTTTTTGGAAGATTACTAACATCAATACTTAATCGTTTTCATCTAACTGCCTCGGCCATCTGACTGCCACGCAGAGGTTCCAGGTTCGATTCCTGGGCCGGCAGAAATATTTGTATGGCCTACATTTATTTCTCTCGTGAGTGTGGGTGTAATTTGTGGTTGTTTACGTGTGTGACCATGACACCCGCGACATAGGATTTCCCTAGTGCGTTATTATTATTATTAACCGACTTCAAAAAAGGAGGTCATCAATTCGACTGTATGTTTTTTTTGTATGTAGGTATGTTATGCGATAACTCCGGTGTTTGTAAACTGATTGATATTTGTGAAATGAAAAGTGAACATAATTAAGAAAATCTATAAGTAACAGAGGGTTATCATGAATGAATGAATGAATGGATGAATGAATGGATGAATGAATGAATTAATGAATGGATTGATTGTAAAATTGACAGTAAAATACTCAAAGCTATTTTAATGATTCTTGCATTCACTAGGAATCAGGATCTTGCGCCGACATATATATATATGTGTATATGCACATATATGTATATTGGTACACAATAAATATTTTAAAAGAAAGATAAACAGCCTAGCAGCAGTATATTGCTATTATCAAAGGTAGATTCTCTTGAATTCATTTTTAAATATCTTTTAACGACTGCGCTTGTTTAATTGTAACTGGTAGACAGTAAAATTCCAGAGACGAACAGCGCGTACCGAGAAATAACGAAGATTTTCTGTATTTTTGTATTTCTCTCTGGTCGATTCTCTCTCGTTCGTAGGGTAGTACCCGTAGTACAGTGTAAGAGTACGCAGATCCCATTTTGCACTTTTGTATCAATTACAACCATATTATTAAGTATAACTACTTTTCACGTTAGTATGTAAGCGTCACATAAGTAGACTATAAAATAAAACAATAACTGATTTTCTAACACTTTTTGTTTTCATTCTACACCGTCTCAAACCTTAAGTGCGTCGTCTTAAACCAGGCTACCCTACCATTTGCCAAGTTTCATTGCAATCGGTTAACGGAAAGTGGGTTAAATTCAATAAACAGGATTCATCCCCTAATTTGACACTCTTAAGACGTGAAATATTTTCTTTACATTTGAAAAGACCACTGAGGTACCCTTTCCAACAAAAAAGAATCAACGAAATCACTTCCTGTATCTTACACAATTTGTGAACCGATTTTAATGATTCTTTTTTTGTTGGTGAGAGGGTACTTCAGGACTTTTTGGACCCATTTACATTTGAAGAAAATGTTCCACCTCTAAGGGTGGCAAACTAGGGGATGAATCCGGTTTCGTGCACTTTCCGGTTACCGATTGCAATAAAACTTAGCAAATATATGTAATTCCACAAATTTTTGAGGTCGGTGTTTTTAGTACTCTTTACGGAGATTATTTTGAAGTCGGTTAAAAAGAGCATAGAAACTATTAAAGATATAATATTAATGTTAAAAATCTTAGTTCAAGACTGTTTTTTTGTATCGCTTACACAGAGTTCAAAGTAGTAAAAAAACTACTTACAATTATTGTTATTCACTGAACAATAAATAAATGTTGAACAGCGTCTCTATTCACGGTAAAATATCAAAAGAAATAATTATAAATTTTTCCATCACTCACACACAAAATTCGAACACGCGTTTCAACTAAACAACTGATATGCACACAACATTATTTTAACATGTACCGTCAAGTAAACATAACGATATGATCGCTTTAGTATTCACGATCCGATATCGACACGATGCGCTTGGCATTCATGTAAATTCGTATTAAATAATATAAATCCAACTCGTGTAATTGATATATTCGGATGTACCTTTGCGGAAATCTATGTTAATTTAAACAAATTTAAAAAGAATCAACCAACTACAAAAACCATGAAAACGCACTACACTAAAAAGCGAAAATAAAAAACAAAATACAGATTTCTGACAGATACTGTATATCATTCATTGACTTACAATTATATGGACATCGGGTCCGCGCTAAAAAGTGTCCGAACTTATAGGGCGTTAAAATCATATACAGAGCGTCATTCACGCTTTAGTCTTCGTTTGTTCGACTGACAGCGAAGCAAGGAAAATTAGACAGTACTGCGATGACTAAATTCAACGTTTTAGCTTTTTCATATTCCTTTACATGTCACTACGTTTAAATAGGTTGACTTGGGACATTTTTTTCGTGGTTTTTGTATTAGACCCGTCGTCCATTTATTTGTAAGTCAATGATATCATTAGAAGTAATTTCTTTGTTTTTCTTTCCTTGGCTCGGTCGGTGAATTTCATACATAAAACATATATACAGCCGAACGTATAAAAACATTACTTTCATTTCTTAGCAGCAAACAGTAGAGATCCGTCTCAAAGAGTTCGTCCAAGGAAGTACTGCCACCTTATATACAGGGTGTCCCACGGCTATGCCACATGGAGGGAAAGTACCTTAAATACCATTGATAGAACATTTTACTGAAAGAAGACTTCATTTTGATTTTAAAAACAATTCGAACAGCATTCAAAGATTTTGAAATAATCGCTTCTCTGAACCGGGAATCGAACCTCGCAAAATGTGAAAAAAAAAACCACCTGCAATTTTATTATACTGATCGAAAGACTCAATCATAAGGATTGTTTTCTTCTAAATAACATAACATCTTAAATAAAAGGAAGACCATGAAATTGAAATTTAATTAAAATAATTAGGTACATTTAATTGCAACTGACAATAAATCAATTTAAGTTATCAAATGTTCAAAATGTCTCCCATTGTATAGTATACAAATTCTCACTCTTTTCATAATTTCGCTTCCTGTTGATTTATTTATCTTTTCATGGTGAATGTTTGAATGCATTTGGAATTGTTTTTAAAATCAAAATGAAGTCTTCTTTCAGTAAAATGTTCTATCAATGGTATTTAAGGTACTTTCCCTCCATGTGGCATAGCCGTGGGACACTCTGTATACTCTGCCGCCAAGCAGTAATGCTCACATTACTGCGTTCCGGCTTCGAAGACTAAGGGCGCTGGAGAAATTACACGCAAATGGGACTTGTCAATCTTTGTGATTTAAAGCTATTTAATTTATTTATTTAGTTCAGGCGACATGACTAATATAATAAACAGCTTAAGGAATAACATACATACAATACAACTGCAGCGGAGAGCAGGAACACCCCGGGGGTTCGGTGCGGTCGGGTTGCTTCCCTTCAGGGTTCAACCCAGTCCCACATAACCCCGGCTCTGCCCCTGCAGGGCCGGGGTATCTGTAAGCAGATTCCCTCGGGTAATAAAAAAAAGGAAGCAGCAGCCTAGTGACATTGACGTGGTCGAACGTACCGGGGGCAGTTTGTGCAACTCCTTCTGCACGAATGTACGCGACGTGCCTAGGATCAGTCTCTTGCAGGAGTGTGATGATATCCTGGAGACTCTTCACGCCTTATATCGCTTGTATACCTAGAGATAAAATCATTCCTGTCACGTTTCGGGCCGCCATTTCTCGGATAATCGGACCTAGTGCGCAGTATAGCCAAGTTTGATTCCTTAATCGGCCTTGGCGGGAATCGATCGTAGCGCCACTGATTTCGTCAAATTGATACAACGCGACGAAACATCGTAAGGTGTAAATAAAGCCTTGCAGTGGAAGTGATGAGATAAAATTTATCGATGTTTAGAATAAAGGTTAAAATGCCAATGTTACATTCTTAATGGTATCAATAGCAATAAATAAATAATGATAGAAGTGGTCGGGTATATGTCATTGTTAATAATGTTGTAATAAAATACTTTTAGCATCCCTAACCGTTAGTGTGTAAAAATGTAACTCGTGAAACCAAGCATTAAAACGTGAAGCCTAAAATATTTTCAGAATTTGTAATAATTTAGTAGACATAGCTAGAGCTCATTGTGAAAGGTTCGTCCAGGGAAGTACTCCCACCATACCTATTTCTTTCGGTTTTGAAGGGTAAGGTTGCTGGTGAAACTATTGGCATATGGGAATTATCAACTTATGTCCCAGGATGACGGGCGCAGTGGCAGCGCCCCTCAGATCTTTGTGATTTAAAGCTCTGAGTGGCACTGCAACTGTTAGGGACAGGCGTGTAGCTTACTACCAGGCGC